CAATTAACGGTTGGCTGTCCGGTCCCACATCGGGTCAGATCGCGTCCATTGGACAGTCAGACTAAAATGCATATCAGATCGGGCATGTTAAGACCTGCGATCTTGGGTCAAGGTATGAGGCAGAAGATAACGTTGGCGATCATTCGATCAAGAAGGGAACCGCGATCAGCAAGGCGATCGAGATCAAGGAGGCGATCGAGATCGTGATCAGTGATCAAGTATGTGATCAGTGATCAGGTATGTGATCGCAATCGTGATCATTAGTCAGGTAGGTGATCGTGATTAAGTATGTGGTCGAGATCAGGTTGGTGTGGAGCACACCATGTGATTCGCGATCAGTAAGGCGATCGCGATCGGGATCGTGATCAGTGATCAGGTATGTGATCGCGATCAGACAAGTATATCAGGTGCGGCCCACGCAAGTACAAGATCGCTATCGTCTAGAGATAGCGACATGTGGCACACGATGTCCAAGGCATGGGGATATGTATAGGGTTGTTGGGTTTGATTGGTTAACATTAAACAGAGTTCAGTTTGCTTCAAAGTACACGTGTCGACTTCTCCTCCGGGTGGATCATTGGCCACACGACGTCAAGGAAAGGTTTACATACTTTAATCTAGTGATATTTCTGGATTGTTTGTCAAGGGATCAATATCTCTCAAACAACACCCCAACTGTGACTGGACGCAGGAAACCCTTTGTGGTTGAGTATTCAAGATCGCGAGACGGCTTAAGTGGTCAGAAGGCTCGCGAATCTTGGTATACATTTGGACAAGGCGATCTGTTACAGACCAGGGTGACTCATATCGAGCACCCCACAAGCATACAAGTGATTGCGTGACGAATTCCACGTGATCACATTAACCCTGATCGTGGTGTGAAGATTTACACACCGTGATCGAACCTCGACCCCATCGCAAACACGTTCAAGTTTTCCATTGACACGAGTCCACCTGGAAGAGTGCAACCCGCCCCACCGACGGGTACACAAGGTGAGGAAGTCAATCAAGAACACGGAATCGGAGTACCCCCTCCGTTATTCGGTCGTCCGGGCGCCAGTGGAGAGTTGGGATCGACTCATCAAAAGAGCGATCACCACTCCACCACAGTTGCACCACCAAACGTACGACCGTTCCAATACTTTCGTACAATTTGCAAATGATCGAACATAAGTAACATTTAGCCATGACTAATTGTTCACATATCTGCACGATCGTTTTATACAGCAGGTTATTACAACACAGTTTCAGTCGTTGTCAACTATAATAAACTTGATCAGCCAAACATTTTGTGGTATTTTACTGTCACTGAAACTCCACATATAAATGCAAGACCGGGGATTATGACGGAAGCCAATGCTTAGCGTAACAAATAGTGGGGACAAAAATGTTTGCTATTAAATAGTGTTGTTAAATTAATATTTTCTGGCTATCTATCTATAATCGAGGTAGTAAAAATCCAAAATTTAAAAAAAACAGTTGTTCGACGTAGACACGATCGTCAATAAACCATTCGTTCCGATTTCTAAATGCACCGCCTTTTAGCTTGCCGTTTAACAAACCACGCGGCAGAGCTGTCGAAAGACAGAGCTCTTAAACGAGCAGTTGGTACGTTCTTTCAAGATTTAGTATAACGCATCCGTTCTAACAAGACCAAGGCAGCTTATTCGAGCTGTTCTTACTCTATGCCTACGCAGCGTACGTTGCCTTGCAATCCAGCCATCTTCAATGTAATACAGGTTATAACTTGAAGGGTAGATGACGAAATTTGACTACACAGGGGTGAGCTTGTACAGATTAAGTCGACCAATGCTGCGCAATGTTAGTGGCCTTTTTTACAGTTCTAAATTCAAACAGCACTCTCATAGGCTGTCGAAATGCGTCAACAGCTGGCTACGTGTCAACATTATAGCTACGTATCCAGCCTAATTTCTGTTGCACGAATATTGTCCAAATGTTTTTATTCCGCGCGAGTGTATATTATTTATGATATAGGATGGACGAAACGAAGTTGTGCTCTTTTATCGATTACCACAAGTTCTCGAACGCAACTAGGTACCTAAGCAGAATGTTCCGGAAGTATCTATGAAGCATTTGGCCCTGAACTATAGTGTACCAAACATGGCGTCAAAGGTAGTTGCGTAGCCAACTTACCTACACTTACACAGAAATGATGCACATAGACAAGCAACCAATCCAGCATTTTACAAAAGCAAGATTTTGATTTATTATGCACGTGTAATACATACCAAGAACTAATGTAGCGCAATGATGACGCTTGCAGCTTTGCATCCTTTTTGTACGTCTATCTGCTCCAGATTGCTTTGTGCATTAGGTTTTGCTTTGCGAACAAGCGTTACATACCTTCAAGTATTACTTACTTTTTCCACGTTTCGACACCTGACTATTCTGGGGTGCACTCCTGCACTTTAACGTCAATTAACGCAGCGCCCTTTTGTTGGTCTTGTTTGCCGAAATAGGCACACGAATGGGGGTTGCCAAGTAGCTGGATGAATGCGTCAACATCACGGCTAGTTTGCATAACTCTCTTTTGTTTCTCGATCATAGCTCGATTCTTGAGCCGTACGAGAGTGCACGTTCTTCGTTTTATTCAAGAACGGGCTGAAAATTCGTGTTCTTTCCGATCTGTTACCACAAATTTTGCAGTTTGGCTAGGTTTCGGAGTGAAATTTCTCGGAAGTTTCCATCATCAAGCATTCGATTCTGACCTATAGTGCGTCACAGATAGTGTCGAAGATTGTGCGTCCACAGATGGTGTAGAAGATAGTACGTAGCAAATGCAGTGACCTCTACACAGAAACAAAAACGGGTACACAAGCAGGCGAGCACGTTTGCGCAAGCAAACAATCTATTTTATGTTGCGTGTAAATTAAGGAATGCGAGACCCAGCGTTGCGATAATGATGAAGATAGAAGATTTGCATACGTTTTGTACGTGTGAGGAGATCGATAGACCTGGTCGAAGTAGGACCTAGGCACGACATCACACCCGACAGCGGCCGAGTCGGATTGGACGTAGGGTCATCGTTTGTGCCAACACTTTTGACAGCGGTATGCTTATTTGGTTGAGATCCTTGGGGCGGGGGAGGAGCCTTCCTTACAAGTGTATCGTACCAGTATAGATGAATATCGTCGCTTCTCCGACATGAATTAGTTTCTGTAAACGACGGAAGAGCGAATAGAATGTATCAACGTATTTTCATTAAATTACAGAGTACATTTACGTGTTTTAGGCCAATTAAAAACTGTAGGGGTAGGGAAGTACAGTACACCGGCCGTTTCGACGTATTTGGTCGGAGGACAGCGCCAAATATGTGTATGTCAATACAAACTCGAAGTCACGGGTGTATCATCAACGTATTTGCGTAATGTCCGACTCCATATGAGCTTGGTTGATCTACACGAGTATCGGTCAACATAAAACCCAATTCACTGTTGAATTATTTGAATATTTGCGTGCCGAGTGATTTCAAATGAGTTAAAGTAATCTGGATCCTAAAACTTCAAGCAAATCAGACCGACAGCTGTGAAGGCATTCGTGAGGTTTCTACAGTCTGAAAATACAGATCTAAAGTATGTCAAGGGTTGCATTTAGCGCGACGACTCTGGGAAGAGCATTGTATATGTAATGGATAAGTTCGGTATGTGTCTTGCGTTAATAGAAGGCAGTGCGGGTAAGCCGCTTGCCAGACATTCTTGCATGCAGTAATTCCGACAAACTAATCATTGGTTACTAGATCAGTTTCCGCAGCAGCGTGCTTTACTCGAATCACGGCTACTCAAAATGGGTAAAATGTTCGAGAACTACTGTGTCAAGAGAGAAGGTGGTGGGTTAAAGAAGAAGGCCAATGCGTGTACGAAGACTGACTTAAATCGGATAATACACTTTTTTTATTCAAGTGCATACTAGTCTTAGGTTAATAGGATGCAGCTTTGCTGTGCCTTCTTTGGTACCTATTTGAGCGCGCGTCGGACTTGACGCTCGTCCGCAAAAGAATGTATCGATTGATGCGAGCGACGTATTCTTCGTACACTTCATTCGCATGAAACGTGCGAAGAGTAGGGACTCTCGATATTCTTCACCGACGACTTCTCCACGTGCCCGCAACTCGCCATCGCTGTGGATCTGATCACACATGCAGCGCCGTGTGCCGACCCCCTCGACAACTTAACCGCTCAACTTTGAAACATTGCAGTCAGATTCGGCCCTGACACGCTGCTGCTCGACGTTCTCGACCACTAAGAGGCTTCCTGCGGTGTATAAGCTGCTGCTACCTCAGGTACAGACAGCTCACTGTCAACCCACAGCCACGTCGATCGCCTCCTCGACCGCGTCGCCGCTCGACCTCGGGTAGAGCAGTAGCTAACGTCACAATCATTCCGTCGTGGCGTTGCGCAGCACGCGAATAGCAGCATAGAGCTCGCGGCGCGCTGGACTTCGACCGCGGTGCCTGGAACACGAGCACGACAAACAAAGCGTTTATCTACGCAATCAATACCATGAACGAAGACAACAAGGTTGCGAAGGTAATAAGCGTCTAGGAGTCGAACGAATACGTGTCGCTCGCCGACTGAAGTCTCATCGATGGTCAGACCCAGGCCAGTATACGCGAGGTGCAGACGATACTATTTGCAACCTGTCAGAGCCTCAGCGAGAAGAAATACATCGTCAATAAGCGCGTCCTCGACGTGGTAACCGCGTACCTGGTCTTGCATTCCCCGCCTTTTTAAGAGGCAAACCCCGACGGACCAGCTGTCAAGGGCTTGAAAACTTGCGTGCTGGAATCTGGTCGCAGCCTTGCCGATTTGCTCTCATGGTCCACGCATCTCGCAACGTCTCCCTGTTAAAGAAACATATAGAAGACGAAGAAAGACCTATTCAAGAAGTCAAACACAGAGTCTGAAGAATGCAAGCTCGTTCGCCACCAAGCTTTTGTCATCGATCACTTAATCAGACATACAAGACGACAAGACCAGCGCATGGATGCGTTAGAAGCAAAGGTCGACAAAACGCGGCCTTCAAGAAAAAACAAGTACAGAGAGGAGGATGGAAACGTCAGCAATTCTACAAAGCACATAAAGCAGTCGTCGCTAGCTCACCTTCACTCAGTTTGGTTCGAAGGGTACGCACGTGACCCGCGCTTATGGAGTGCCCACGGTGAGAAGCAGAATAATTCGGACTCGAAGATGCTCGCTGCCCTCTTGAAGTTGTTTCGTGAGACAGTCTCCACGCTGGACGAGCAAATAACGACATACCGCAACGTCGTGTTGGCGCTCGGCTTGCAGGCAGAAGCAAACGTCTTGGCGTTCTTTGGCGAGCGCGGCGTCCATTCAAAAGGCGCCAATGCGGTGATGAAGCAGATGCGCGCGCTCCATCGAACCGGCGAGCTGAACGGCAGAATCTAGCGCTACCGGAATCTCCTCTGGTCTGGCGCGATCGTTGATTAAGCTCCTGAATACACACAAGACATTCTTATAGAAGTTTAAGGCAATGCAGTTAGAAACACACGCATCATATTCCTCCCATACATAGATTGATAAGAAAGAACACATTTGCACGTACAACGGCAGAAAAAGATGGGTGGTCTACAATTAGAATGCATGATAAGTACGATGCACCAAATGTGTACCCATTGTGCGATATGTCGGAGGGTCGGAGATTTCATGGTGTGGGTACACGGCAACAAACGGCTTGGCACTGTAAATTGCACGTGCAGCACGAGCGATATCTAAAAAGTCGGATTTAAATCAAAATCTATTTAAAGCATGTAATTTTCGTTCAGAGCACAAAACTAGTACATCTTTGTCATGTCTCTGCTCCCAAATGACGCCGAAAACAAGTCCAGAACTCCGGCCCCATTCGCGGACGCCAAGCACAAAAGCGGTACTTCATCAAAGTACACACCGTAGGGCGGGTTTAACCCGCACCCACGGGAAATTTAACCCGCACCCATTTGCCGCACCCATCGCTCATTTGATCCTTATTAGGTGAAATTTACCCCTTCATGGGTTAGGTAACGACGAAGGAGTCCGGGCTGAATCTGATCTGACTTTTCCAAAGCGTGTGTGCATTTCGCATAGAACTTTTCGCTTTGTACCGCTATCATGGCCAGTACAAGTGAAGGGTACTTGAGCTCTCAACGGCCAGATGATGAACGATCAGACGTTGATGGCTCTTTCCCTGAAGATACGGGTGCGCCTTCGCAAGTTGAACGCCCTGGCCGAAACCTTTGCGGCAGCGACGATACTTAAGATGTGCCATGGTTGCAGAAAGTATGTCAAACATAACAGTAAAACGTGTCCCACAAAAAATCCCGAAAGAGCTGATGCAAGAGAAGCTGCGGAATTTGCACGACGTTCGGTGCTGACGACCCCAAGTGAAGATTTTGAGTTTGTGCCTGTAGGAAATAGGCAAAAGTATAGTTAATGTCTTCTATATTAAAACGCGCGCCAGACGCGTTTCGGCCCCCCTCCGGGGGCCTCGTCAGTGGCTTAATCGATCTAGAAGTGAGATATTGCTCTATCCTGCGCTCTACGACTAAGAACCTTCTAGAACTTAGTGTAACCACACCAATCATCCACTACAGCTACCAAACCTGGCAGCTGGGGCGTCGACCCGGAAAGGAGTGTCCGCTATGACATCTCCACTTCCAACACTCCCCTTCGACGATCGAGCTGTCAGCCTCTCTGTCGATAACCTTCGGCAACCTTGACCCACCACTCCCCTGACAAAGAGTCTCCTTTTGCGAGAGCTCTTGACGATCTTCTGTGGCCTTGTGGTCCAGCGACTCCTGCGCTTCCCTGGGTCTGCCGATCTTGAGAGCTAGTTTCTTGGTCGTGTCTTGTGGTCTTGCGCGTCCTTGTGACTCCCTTGCGTGCGGACCATTCGTACCACGCACAAAACTTGGTCACCTTGATCAGAGACTCCTTCATCTTCGATCCTCCTCTAACATAGTCCTCCTTCACCAACTCCTCTGCATTCCGTAGCACTCGCAAAGCCAACTACCATCGCGTCTTCGATCTTGCGCTTCACTCTTTGTCGCCAGCACTTGCGCCGTCTTCACCAATCTTCAGGTGAGACCTCTGGCGCCTTACTTGTTCGCGACGCGCCCTCACCGGCGGAGTTTTCTTCGCACAAGTCGATCCGTAGCTAGACGGCTGGAGCGAGGTCTTGGGCTCATAACCTGTAGGTACTAGGAGAAAGTATAGTTAATGTCTTCTATATTAAAACGCGCGCCAGACGCGTTTCGGCCCGCCGCCGGGGGCCTCGTCAGTGGCTTAATCAATCTAGAAGTGAGATATTGCTCTATCCTGAGCTCTACGACTAAGAACCTTCTAGAACTTAGTGTAACCACACCAATCATCCACTACAGCTACCAAACCTGGCAGCTGGGGCGTCGACCCGGAAAGGAGTGTCCGCTATGACATCTCCACTTCCAACAGTGCCGTCCTTACCAGACTTTTACCAAGAGGGTTCGTCCCAGCAGTTTCAACAGCCGCAGCACTTTGGACCCCCTCAATCTCAGCCACCGCCATTTCAGCAACTCCGCTATTCGGCGATGCAGCCTCAGCTGCTGAATGAACAGTCGCAACTTTCATTGCCGCAGTACGTCCAGTCGCATGCGTCGCTTCCGCAGTACGCTCAGTTCTAGTCATCAGTACAGCATTATGATCAGCTGCATCCTTCAATGCTGCTTCCCCGTCCCCATACGCTTTTTCTTGATGGACAGCACGGTCAGCACCTCCAGCATGCGCCTACCCAAGACAGGACCTTGCCTTCAATGCATCATCTCAGTGACTTCCCCCTGCATGCCCCACCCCTCTTTGAGCCCTTAAATACATGGACGGATGCTCGCGTCGCCCACGGCTGGAAATTGGGCGCCTGCAGATGATGACAGATACTACGATCCTCGAGGAACCACATTTCCCCGACGAGCATGCTATTGCAGCATGGAGTAGGAAGGTTCATAGAACAGTATATTCGTAGCGCCTTTAAGAGTAGCTCGCTTTGAATAATTTGGGACCATCATATTGAGAATTCTGCAGTTCTGTGCTGATCTTTCCCACAGCACAGCTGCGCAGTTTGTCATCTAACCCAAAAAGGGGAAAATTTCTCCCAATAAGGATCAAATGAGCGATAGGTGCGGCAAATGGGTGCGGGTTAATTTTCCCGTGGGTGAGGGTTGAACTTCCCCACATCGTACTTACTGCCCTTTCCAGACTAGTTTACAAAATCTGTCGCACGCACAACAATCTGGTCGTCCGTCGCATAAGCTGGTCGCCGCTATGCGACACAAATTGGCTGCACCGTCTAACTTCAGTAAAGAGGCGGCTGCAGACAAGACGAGGGGATAGCGATCCTGTTGGAAATTGCGTGAGTTGTTTAATGCACTTGTGTACGAAGATATAGAAGTAGAATTGAACATATGAGTGTGTTATCTTCGTTCGCTAACACCATATTATAAACATGCACTGCAACTCGACCATAACATGATTGCGTCCGTCCTCCTGCTCCTTTTCATAAGACGCCGCCATGTCGCCCAACGGTCATGTCGCCACCTCGTCCCGCCATCTGGTCCGTCACCATCCTGTCACGACACCTGTCTACGTCGTGCTCTCGCCGCACCATCTGTCACCGGTCGTAGCCTCGTTTCACCAGCTGTCAAGATGTTGATGGACTCGACCAATCAGGTGTCACTGTCGCATGTTCTTGCAGTTGAACCTGCCGTGACTATGACTGACAGAAACGTTTCTAAACAGGCATTTCTAACAGATCCATTCATCTGTAAAAAAAAGTACAGCGCTCGTCTTTCAACGGCTCTGGCTCCGGATCGAAGTCATCGGGTGGCGTAGCGGGTCTCACTACTAATCATTCCATCATTTGCTCGCCCGCCCCCACGCGACTCGACATCGATTCGCACCAACATGCGCCTCCACTCGCTCAAACTCCTGATCGCTGCTGCGATCGCTCTGCGTACCGTGAGCTCTTCGAAGGAATACGGCTTCAAGATGGCTCAAATCGACCGCCCGACTGCTGGTCCTTCTCACGCCGATAACCGCACTGCCATTCACGACGATCGGCTGCCACAAGCAAACAGCGCCACGGATAGCGAAGAGCGGGCGCCAGGACCAAGCAAACCCGTCTTTTTGTTTGGAGTGGAGTTGAAGGAGACGACACCGCTGTTTCTAGAGAACGCTCTTACCCGCCAAGTTGGAAGCGCGCGGGCACACATAAGACCAAACCCAGTTGGTGATCGCCCTGTGTCGAGCCCTTCTGAAGTGACGAAAGCGCGTGTTGGCTCGCACGATGAGACGATGACAGCGGTTGCACCGAAGGATCTGGAGGAAAAAGAATTTGCTGAAATCTTCAGCCTTTATCCAGCGTCTCCTACGATGCTTCGCCCTGATGCAATGGGGCGTCTAACGAAGGCTGTCAAAGCGTGGAACCGAATCCATACGAAAAGTAAAACTGTGCCGGATGTGCTTAAGCATATCTTTAAAGGCATAGCCAATCTCGCGCCTGTTTTGGCAAAGGCTAAGATGGATGGACCCAGCTCCGCTGAATTTGCACGGTTGCAGAGAGCATTACTGAAGCCATATATCAAGGAAGAGCTTGATCCAAGCGCTGTTTTTGGCAAGCTTGAATTGCAAGAGAGAAGCCTGACGCTCGAGAATTTGGACACGTTCGACGCGTACCTTGAACTGTATAACTTGCGTATCGCCAAAAGTCCGAAAAGCACGAATAAGATGGATCTTATGGCGTATCTTCGCTATCAGTTTGGCGACGATGAACTCATACGGAAGGTAGCGGACGGTAGAAAGCATACAGAATACCCCGACACGATACCGGCACGTCTTGTGAAGACATTGGAAGGCGAAACAAACTCGATCTATGATGTCGCCAGAATATTGTCTAATGCTGGAATCGATGATTCCACAGTGGCGAGTTTGGTGCTGAGTTCAAAAGATAGCGAGTCCAAATTCTCGCTAGCTATATCGACATCTAAGCTTGCTAGCTTCAGTGGACACGATCACACAATCGTGCACTTGCAGAAGGGGCTGATGGAACTCTTGGTGAGGAGCGGGAAATCGCCCGACGAGATTTATGACTTGCTAAAGCTTTCCAACCAAGTGTCGATGGGAGAGTTTTTACCTGTGGCGCGGGACGCATTTGGTGCTTACGTTAAAGCATTCAACAAACAACACCCTGATTCTCTGCTTGACGCGGATGTGTACCTCGCCCAAAAGTTGAGTGCTGCAGAAGCGCTCAAAGAACCAGCCCCAAAACGCCAAAGGACTGGATGAGTTTCCGATCGGCGTCAGGTGGCGAACGACAAGATTGACCTCGGGTGGCCTCGACAAGCGGTTGGCAAAGCAATCGGGTAGCGGATGGAGCAGGATGCTGGAGTCGTTGATGCGTGTGAGCTTGGATCAAGTTGTAGCTAACTTTGATTGCCTTCATAAGCCGAAAGGAGATCGATAACATGAAATACAAGCATTTCTACAGTTTGACGTCACTACCGAAAGCATGCGGGGCTCACTTGTGTCAAGACTACGATCGTAGAAAGAAGCTTTGGTAGGCAATCTGCCCTGTGTTCATTTTCACTGGTGGATCGATTCCAGCGTTGCTTTTCTTTGGGTTGTCACTGATGCACTCTGGTGCAAGTGTGCCTTCTTCCTCTGTCGGCAAGTTAGTTTGCAGTCTCAGTCGGATTGGCATAGACATTCGATGGGCTTGCTCTTTAACAAAAGCTCCGCTGTTTGCGACACTGCCATCGAGTATACAACTGCTGCAACGGATTGCAATCGCCATGGAGATCGGCATCAGACGAGCAATGGTAAATATCGATTCGGTGCGCGCCCTGAGCTGATAGAGCCGTGGCCATCGCCGTACTCGTTCGCAAAGCGTGCGGCGCATACAAAGCCACTGATTTACAAGGCAAAGCGGCGCCTCGCTGGCTGGTGCTATCTCTGGTGCTTCATATGCGCTGGGCGATCGTGACAAGTAGAAAGGGCTCTCGCCTGACTCGCGTGCAGCTGCACTATTGCGATTCATGAGCGAGGGTCAGCCAGGGTACAAATTGTTTCTGTAATCGGGCTTGGGATACTTCTCCGGCTGGCTTCGTATCAGCAGCACGATGGTCTCCTTCCTGCTAACACATCGGCTAAGGGCTGAGAAACGTTAGGCGCGCTTGCACACGATAGACGCACACGATTTGCGTCTGACTGACAAAGCCTTGGGTATGTTGATACAGGCTTGAAGTAGCAAGCAAGACGATATTGCGAACAGCACACATGACACTGTATACGCACAGATAGCGCCGTCACATGACGCCCGCGCCAAACGGTTTCACATCCGCTTCTAGCCGGTCGGGTGTTTCATTGTACTCCAATAGAGCTAACAAACTCAATCTTGTTTCTCCTTTTAGTTCATGTTGACGACATGCTTCAGTCAATCTTGCTCACACGATGCACCGTTTGCACTCGAACGAGAGCTTCGATCGCCATGACCACAGAACCTTCCACGTCACTATCAGGCGCACCTGCCAGAGCGCCCTGTGGGTCCAGCTCAAATGCCAGAATTTTCACTTCCTCATGTTCCATGTGCAGTCCACACTTCTTGATCTCCCTCCACCTTTCCATTGTGCACTCCAACAATCACGTCGCATACTTGCTTCAATAAATTATGGTTCGGCACGCGTCGATCGCCGCCATTCCCACCATCGCAGTGCTCTGTTGCAGCTTCCACGTTCAGCGAAAACGTGGTCGGAACGACCGTCTCGCCGACGATAGCCGTGACGTGATCGATGCCCGGCACGAAAGGGTAGGCACCAGTCGCGGCCCTAATCATGTCCAGGTTGCGCGGCGAGCGTATAACATCCATAGCCCTCCGAGCAAGACTCGTTTCGTACATCATTTGCCCCCACTAAACGACTGCATCAGCTGTTGGCCGTGCGCTTGGATCATGACTCGACAACTTGCTGAGCATGTCGATAATTTCAGGACACCACTTTGCGGCACGGAGGTCAGTAGAGAATTTGCTGTCTCGAGCATCACGAAGAGTGATGTATCGCTGCATTGTCGTGCCAAATCGCTCGTGACACAGCTCGAAGAGGATCATCCTTAACGAGTAAATCTCCGTCTTAGTACTGTACTCTTTCCTTGCGACTCGTACCGGGCTTACGTAAATATACGTGCCGACACCCGCAGTCACTTCGTTTTTTCCCGGATGTCTTCGACCACATCGATGCAGACAAAGGAGTGTCCCGCAGACCTTGAGAAGGATGTCCTTGTTGAGAATCGTCGAGACTTGCTGCAGCATTCAGACTGCTCACATTCGTAGCGTTGCGCGAGAAGCCGAAATCTCCAGCTTGATCTCATCCCTTTCAACATCAGCAACAAAGATATGTGCTGGCTCTAGATCGCGAGGAGTCAGTCCACACGAATGTACGTGCGCAAGCGCACTCGCAATCTGCACAAAGATCTTCGACATTCTCGACAATTCCATCGACCGGCCAGGAACAGCCAGGTAGTCTGCCAAATTACGACCAGCACAGTACTGCATCTGAATGTACAGCCAGTGATCACATGTCTCTACAGCGTTGAGCGAAGAGTCCTCCCCACTACCACAGGCAGCTGGCGAGCAAGATGGAGATGCACGAGGAGCTACGTTGCTCGTGTGTGGCTTGTTTTGCACAATCAAATCTTCTTCCTTCCATCCATCATCGTCTTCAATGCCAGAAACCCCACGTTCCCAGACAAAGCCACCATCATCGGCATTGTCACTCATTGCGCTCCGATTGCTGTAGACGCTCTCGAGCTGACGTCGATCTCCTGAAAACTCGAACTCGGAAATCGGCGCGAGGAGATTGTTTGTCGAGTAGTTGGCCGCAGCGGCGTGACCACCAACTGAGCTCGTTTCTGAAGCAACAGAAGATACTGCCAACGTTCCCTCTGTGCTCTCCTCAACCTTTTCCAGCCACGCCTGATAGTACCGCACAATGTCGGTGTGGTCTAGTAATGCTAAGATTTTTACCTCGCGCAGAAACTTCTGCAAAGTCTTAACGTTTGATTCTTCAGGCTCAAGCCAACGCGCTTTATCGCATACTTGCGTCCGTCCAATCGATTCCCAGCGAGTGTAACTTGACCAAAGCCACCTTTACCGATTGCTGAAAGCTCTTCGAACTCGTTCACGAAGCGGCTTTGACACACGAACGGGAAGAAAACCTCTGCCTCATCCGAAGGGATCTCAAGTTCACTCGAGGATGATTGCAACGAGCCATGAGTACTAAACTTGCCGTCGCTCATTTTTTCATCCAGTCCACCTTCACCGCCCGATGTAGTTCGCACATCATCGCCATCGTTCGACTGGTGGCTGCTGTTACTATCGCTATTACTGCTGCAGCTTCCCGTTGTCAACTTTCCGGATGAGCTTACCGACCTTGGACTCTTCGCGAATATTCCAGAGTCGTCATCGGCAAATAACAAACCATTCTTCAGATTTGTTGACTTGAAGCGCTCATCGCTTCGCACGCGATCGATGGCTAGGAATGCGACGTCTTCATCTGCAGACGGCAACCTTTTGCAAATGCCTACTTCATCTTCTTTCACCACGCTATCCTCTTCAGCGTACGAGAGTGATATTACGCTGATGGTGGACGTAAGTCTCTGCCTATACACCTGACCGGCAAGCGATGGCATTGTTATGTCACCAATGCTCGAATTGGTCAAAATTGACGCAGAGCACGCCGGTGCACCTGTACTCGCACTGCAGTCTACGAACAGATCGTCCTTCAGCAGTTTTTGCGTTTCGTTGACGTGTCTACCGTCGAGAAGTATCGCTGCAGATTCATTAGCAGCAAGGCGCGAAAACCTTTCCATAAGAGCAGCTTCCGTTGCCACGCCACTACTGTCGCTTACTCTCGATCTAGCAGCATTACCACTCTCCAACAGAGGCACCCGGTCATTCACGCCCAAGGCGTTCATCACTAGTGGACGGCCGATCACGACTGTAACATAATTGTCCGCCTCCCCCCGGCGATGTATGACGAGTCGATGAACATGTGACGTAAAAAACTGCCTCTGGTCCAAGGTCTTTATAGCCGACTGCACTAGAGAAGCTGATAGTCCCTTGAAATAACACCCCCATGCGAGCAGGATGCCGCACGTAGCCACACCCAATAGCACGACTACTGCGTGCGTGTACGTGATAAACGCACCTTGCTTACCTCCAATTAACGATCGGCTCCTATAAAAGTCGTCGACTGCCGGGTGGCTCTATCTCCTCATGATAATTGTACTCGTCACCCATTCGTTGGCGGTGGAACGTGGGCGAACCGATGCCACGGCTAGTGGCTACACCATCACTCTCGCTCGCTTGAAAAAAGTAATCATTTCCCATCATACGAAGCCTAAACCGGGATGTCATTGCATCCCATGTGCGTGGAAGCACTCGCACCAAATGCTGATTCATCAAAGAATCTGGCACGTTTTGTTTCTGCTCCATGATACTTTTTGGTTGATCAACAGCGATCGAGTGCCGACGGCGGTGCCAATCTTTCGCGGCCACTCGCGCGGGAGTGCGGACACGTCTAGATGACGATGGGCCGTCCACCTTCCAGTTGTAAAACGTAGCTCCCCACATCGTAGATACCCCATACACGGCTAGAACATCAAAGTCAGGAATTTCGAATTCCCAAAGCTGCTTCTTTGTCCAGGGATCAAACGCGACAATAGCGCTAGAACTCGTACCCTCTAACGCTGCGTCATAGCTCTTCGGTACCACGAGAATTTCTGGCACCATCGTGTGGCCATCGTCTCCGACGGGACAATGCGCGCGCTGTGCAAAGCCCAGGAAGAATTCTGAAGCTCGAAAGCACCGAGCAGCTGAAGCGTTGCGGGAGTGAACAGCACGAGTTGTGAACTCCGAGCGGCCAAATAAAACATCAGGAGACATCGCCGTAGATGCTGAGACGACAAATGGGCGCGACGAAAACCGCTGACTGCATTTAATGTAAACAGGTCCAGCGTCTTCTCGCCAAAGATCAAAATGTCGGCTGCCGGAACGTCCACAGCAGGCTCATCATCAGTCACAGTAGCTTCTACACTCAGACGTACAG